CACACTCGATGCCTACCGCAGTGTAGTGCACAGACCGATTTATTTAAAATAAATAAAATAATTAATCAGTGGCTATGTCAGAGTCTACACTTTTAGGTCCAATAGGTAAGTTTAGATTCCTACAAACGAAACTATTTTTACTTGACTAGTCCGCAAACAGAAAGCAGATGAGGAGAAACTGTTCTAACTATGCTGTCTGTCAGATGTCAATGGCTGTACATCTAACTAGTCAAAATAAAAATAGAATCATTTGTGGGCCTGTTAGCAGAATGGAATTTTTCCCGAACTTACCACCTGAAATCTACCCCTCCCTCAGTTCTTCCTGATTGTCACTTGCCGTCAGCGTTCCTGAGCAATCCAGATAGCGTGTGTGTCTAAAGTTGTGCACGCGTCCCACCCCTGTGCCCCGAGTCAATGTTGAACCAGCCAGCCCTGCACCATGTTTACCCTCGCGTGCAGCGAGCCTTACACCGACTGATTGGCTGATCAAGAGGCGTTTAAGGACGGCCCCCGAAGTCCTTAGGAATTATTTAACGTCGCAGACAGGACGACGATCACAGCCAATGGAAGGTAACCCCGCCGGTACTTATTTATAGACTTCCGATACTCGTCTCCCCTGTAGGGCTGGCCTGCCCCTCATAACCCATCTACAGCGCAGCAGGCAGACAAAGGACAAAGCAGCAAAGCATGCGGGCTCTACTCCCAGTGGGTTGGCATGGTGACCGTGACCCAGTGCTTCGTCCAGGGCCCTTCAGATAGCTCCGCCCTCTCCTTCCAGATGCTCCCCGTGATCAATGCCGACTCTCAAGGTTGAGCGCATTTGACTCCTTGCATGAGAGGACTCTCAAGACAGAACACACATCCTCATGGTAAGAAGTGTCGAAGAGGGTACATAAGGTTAAGAGCAACGTACCTCAAAATAGCTGCCCCCAACAACAGGTATTCTCACCAGATGACCTGACGCCGATTGTGATGACCAATCGCTGCTTCGACACAACCAGCATTACACCGCCGTTCCACCTCAGCATCAATTGCACATCAGATAGTTCTCATCACACTGTGAACACCCCTTAATCACCTCGTTGCCTTCCTGGTGATACACCTCTCCACCTGAGTCGCCTGCTTGCCTTCACCCTCCTCACTACACACTCCCTATGGCCGCTCACCCAGCATACTGCATGCATGTACCGCATAGGCAGAAGACAAGCGCCAGATTAGCGCAACGTACCACAACTCCAATACCAAAATGCAAGGAAAATGAGCGATAGCGAATTCCAGAAACCAAGCAGCATCATTCACATGTAACCAGATAGTCGTGACCTCGAACCAAAAAGCAGAATTGCAACACGAGTTCCACCAAATAAGAGCACAGCAAAAACTCACAAGTGACAATGTTGGAATAGTCTCATCATCATCAACAATGAACCAATGTCGACATCCTATTTGGCGCTCTGCCCCCAGGCTACAAATGGCAGATCCTATCTATCCTATCTACAATGTCGCTGGTGACGTCAACAGCTCCCCGAAGTACGAGCAGATCTCGGCCAATGCCATTCGCCTCAAGCACCAGGTATGTCTCTTGCATCACTCACAACCTCGATCCCCCGCACACAGATGCCACATGCACCCAAGGACCACCATGCGCCCCATCCAGCATAGCACAGGGCAGCTCGGCTATGGCTGCCTGCTCTTCCTGCTTGCCCATGAGCCCATGGGCGCTGGCCAGCGATTAGCGCAGCAGCGCTTGTGCAGCATGCAGCCAGTGCCCAATGCGAGGGCAGGCACTTTCCTAAATGGAAGTGGCCTGCCTGCTGCGTGCGGCCAGGCTGCGCTGTGCCCCTGCCCAGAAGCTTCCGGTAGGCCCCGATAGGCTGAGCCCCAGACCAAACGAATCAGGCCCAGGGCCTATGGTGGTTACCCGTGTCCAACTGCCCGCAGCCTGTGTTTGGCCCATGTTGCGTATCTGGCCCAGGGCCTGGCTCAGTTACATACGATAAAGGCAGCAAGGGCCTGGGCGCCTTTCAACCAACTGGCGCTGCGCAACTGCCTGAACTTCCCCAGTTGCGTAATAGTTCAAAATAGGCCTCTCGTCCTTGGTCGGGCCTGCCTTCATTTAGGGCGGCCGACATTGCTGATAACAGGGCCCGGTAGGGCTCGTCGAGGCTTTGAGCCTTGCACTTTTGCCTTCTGGTCCCCATCGAGACTCTTTATAAATATAAAAATAAAATTTAAGACACCCCCATTTTTTTGTCTTTTCTTCATGCTGAAAATGGAGTTGTCCGGGCCCGGACGTCCGGGCCCCCCCCCCCCCTGACTGTCCGGCCAGGACGTCCTGCCATCGAACAACTGGTAGCCTAGAATTTAAGGCTTTTGTTGGTTGAGTAAATGACATCGTTCTCTGCTCCATAGCTTTCTTATATGGACTTGTTCTGTGACCTCACTCCCAAGCCTGGGTGTGGGTCGTCTTTGCCTTCTCCTTCCCTTCCTCCTTTTCCTCTCCTCACTCCCTATTAGCTGGGCTATGGCTGTCTGGGTCCTCTTTGCCTTCACCATAGATCCCAGCTATGGAGCGGGTAATCTATGGACTTGGTTCCATGGATTTGTTCTGACCTCAGACCTTAGTGTGGACCTGGGTGGTCCACACTAAGGTACTAGGACAGAGGGGTTGGGGGTGTCTTTAAGTCACTATTTGGTTCCATGGACTTGGTTCCATGGACTTGTTCTGACCTCAGACCTTAGTGTGGACCTGGGTGGTCAGGTCCACTCTAAGGTAGATCAACTACCCTGTCACACCCCCACCCCCTGTGTCCTACCTTAGTGCGGACCACCCAAGCTATGGAGCGGGTATAATCTATGGACTTGGTTCCATGGACGTGTTCTGACCTCACTCCATAGGTGGGCTATGGCGATCTGGGTCTTCTTTGCCTTCACCTTCCTCTGTCCCTCTCCGGAGTCTCCGCCTACCTTCTCTTGGCTCTTTCCAGATGTGGAACACCTGAGAGGAGTTTTTTTTTTTTTGTTTTTTTCCCTGAACGTTGAGAATTGGCCATATCAATGATATCATACTCTAATAGTAATCAATAAATTTTAGCAATAACTGTGTCTTTGTGTGAAGAGTAAAGGAGCTGGAGTGGTGGCATTTTTCTTCTGCTTCATTCGTCAGAATGAATTCGCCTTGTCCTTCGGGGGATTGGATTTCTTTTAAAATTGGAATGATACAGAGAAGATTACCTAGCGGAGATGGTGATGGGTCATGGTCCTGGGTGGTCCACACTAAGGTAGGAGGACAGAGCGGTTGGGGGTGTGCGGGGTTCACAAAAAAAAGATATGACATCCTTTTTTGCGGCAACTACAGGAATTTTACAAAATGATTTAAAAAGGGTTGTTAACTTATTAGGAAAAAAAAAGAATCATGGCCCTTGCACAAGGATGACACACATAAATCGAGAAATGGTCCAAAAAAAAAAAAAGGAAAAAAAAAGGAATTCGCCGGTGCAGTCAATCAGCAAGGGAAGGAACTGATACTGACCTGTGCATCTGTTGGACATGCTCGGCACGCCTCAACCTCCCTCAAAGACTACAAACCCTGAGGAAAAAAAAGAAGTTGAGCCCATCCTCATTCTGGAAGATGATAAATATAGTCTAACCGGCTTTGCCACACAATCGGATATTGTTTGCCCCTTCTTTTTCTTCTGTAAATCGTTTTGGTTGAAAAAAGTAAAGAAGGGAAAAGAAGTGAAAAAAAAACATGACCACATTATCATGGTCAGATCTCCACTCCATTGTTCCTCAGTGTCCCCTCCTTTTTTCTTCTCCCTTCTCCTCTCATGCGTGACCCTGCTAAGAATGTTGATCTGTCATTTACTTTTATCTTTTTTCTTGCACAATTTTTGCACAGTTTATGGTACATCCACCCGCTGATTCCTATTTGGCAATGGATGATAGATAGGATTGCAGCAGGTGGTGTTCTGTGTTTTCAAAGTCGATCCAATAGGATCTTCAG